GCATTCTGCAGGGGAATGGGTGTCTTTGTGACATAATTGAACGTAACTGTATAGACCATCATTGCTGAACGTAAACTTATAATCCTCGGCACTTGCATGCACGTACATTCTAAGATTTCCAGCAAATTTATCGTGAACAGGGGCGGATTCAGGGGGCGTGGTGGCGCAAATCCTGGATCTGCCCAAGGTGAGTACATTTTACATGCATTTTATACCTGTGTGAAAGCTTTAGGTTCTCCCGGTCAGTTTCATTATACCACTCGAGAACCTATTGAAATTTGTTTCAGTTTTTGAATGCTCTTTTATATCGAACATCAAATGTTGTCATTTGATTTCGTTTTAGAGCAGTCACTGGCTAAACAATTTGATTCATCATTCAAATCGTCCTTTCGTTCATTCAAATTCGTCAGAAAGATTGGAAAAAGGTTAGTCAAGAACTGAATTTGTCATCAAACAATTTCTTGCGTTCAAATTCATCTCTCTGGCATGGCATGTTTCCAGAATTTCTTGAGAAAAGAAAAGAGAAAAAATGTAAATTACTGTACAAGGAAACAGAACAAAATTATTTGTCATATAAACAACAGTCGTGTTTTTTATGAATTTCTACTGTTATTAAATTTCCATTTGAAATAGGAAAAAAAAACTATAGGTATAAACAAAAGCACTATTATAGAGCCTGAAAGTCGAACCCTTGGATGTGAAAATAACGTGCAAAGATTTTAGAATTTGTAATGTTTTTTCGTTCAGTTTCTTTGGAAAATCTTAAAACATCCGGTTATAAAAAACTAGCGTGTGTTTTGTCTTTAAGCGAGTTTATAAGCTTGCCAAATAAGTGATGACAGTAAGTCTTTCATCCTCAGCAAAAATGTCTCGCGTTGTGCTGTAAACTATAAACATCTTTCATTGTTGCCGATAAGGTAAATTTATACACTTGCAATAATAATAAATGTATTTGATATTCCCGCATGATAAAAGCAGTCATTATTACTAAAATAATTGTTCTTGATAAACTGTTTAATAATCGGTTTATAAAACTGAACTTGAAGATCAATGTAAAAAGAATTCCTTGCAACACGTCTGATTTGCATGACAACCTTTGTTGCTGCTAAATGACACTGTATTATTTTGACGCGTGTGGGTGAGAGAGAGTACCATCATCACCATGCCTCATTCGCATTCGTGTGTTTCGGAATATGGTGCCTTGTGGAGACGAAGGAGATTGGGTTGTATAGGCCTCTCCACAAGGAATTTCTAAACGTTTATAGGTCTTCACAAGGATTTCACAAAACTGATATTTGGAAATCGCTCTAAAAGGAGAAATTTTTAATGTGTAAGAATTTGTCGCAAGTTTACGTGTTTCATATACAGGACATTCGGTCAGGAGAGTGATTCGTGTTGAAATGGGAGCATTTTGAAAACATCGTTCCAGACGCTACCGTGTGATTAAATAGTAGTACTAGAGATGCGGCGAACAAAAGACATGTCTTCTTCTCTCCAAGGATAATTTCGGAAATGTGATTCCGCTAAACAAGCTTTGTCCACACACACATGCCCTACCCTGTTCTATGTGCATGAATTGGAACAGCGAGGAAGCTGGCGTTTCGGCGGTTCGCACCGCGGGTGTAAGCTTCTCGAATCGCGCATTTGTTGCAACACAAAACCTTCCGCAGTCAACACAGGGGAGCGGCACCGCGTATATGGCGATATCTGTGGCAAACACCATAATGCATGGGGGAGAGAGAAATTTGGGTTGGTTGGGTCGACCGTCGGACTGTGCAAGAAAAAGGATTTTAAAATATGAAATATATATAAGGCCTATATATAATTTGGGTTGAAAAAAAATGCAGGTATTCGAAAATGTTACAAGGATGCCTGCGCCTTTTCTATATTATTTTTAATTTATAACCCCCAGAGTCGGAAGAATTGATTTGTTTTTTTTCGTAAAAGTGGAAATATCTATAGTATGCGTTCTTACTTTTTCTTGGTATATGATGAAGACGGGGAATTCTATGAAATAACTGTGAATCTTCTTCATATTTACCCAGTTTGTCGTTCTAAACAACTTGGGCAGAGTACTGTTGTTTTGTAATGAGTCAGCGTTTATAAATATAGCACAAGCAAGGATAATTTCTATGCTCTAGCATTTTTTTTCTGAAATGACAATTAGTTTGTAAAAATTGAGAAACGTTCTTTAATATCGTTCGTAAGCTTGCCAAAAATGATTTATCAAGAAGTCTCTCACGTTTTGGCAAACAATGTCTCATAAGTGCTGTAAAATGTAAAATCTTTCATTGTTATCGATATCAAAGCAAATTGTATATGTCACAATGAGAATGTAACAAAAATTTGATAAGGACTTACTGGCAATGGTTCTCTTACTTTGAGCTTGTAATTTGTACGTCCAAATATACTGCTACTAATCATCAAAGGTATATTTACTATTACTATATTAATGTATTTGATATTCCAGGTGAAAGCAGTCATCTATTTTATTACTAAATGAATTTTGCTGTATAAATGTTTGCTGGCCAATTTTATATGATACGAGTGGGGTGGAGTGCATGTGCCATGCCCCTTACATTCGCCGCATCATGCGGTGACACCGCTAAAACAGGCTGTGTCTCACGCGCCATGCCCTATTCAATGTGCATGAATTGCAACAGCATAAAAGCTTGCGTTTCGGTGTTTTGCACCTCTAACGCAAACTTCCCGGAGCGTACATTGTCGTGACACTAAACCTCTCTCACACCGTAACATGGGAGCTGGACCGTGTATATGGCGATATCTGTGGCAAACGTGAGAAAAAATTGTTGGGTCGCGCAATGCAAGGCGAAGTGAGTTTTAATTTGAGGACAGGAAATGAATGGCTTCTGAACAATCAGATTGTAACAATCTGCAAGAGTAATTATTGTATTTACACGTTTAAACATCATTTAGTGCATTGTGAAAACAAAAAATGTAAATTATTACAATGAAGAGAATCCTAGGATATGTGTAAAAAATACAGGCATCAATTAGAAAGTTAACCAAGGGATGCCTTTGCCTTAAACAATCAAGTCAGAAAAGTGAACCCATTGAAGTTTTTCCAGCTCAGTGTTTAAGTAGGACGGATTAATTTTTTTTCGTAAAAGTGGAAATATCTGTTTATGCGATGCTTTCTTAGCATTTCTTTGAAATGCATGTAGACTCGGCTTCATTATTATTTAGTTTGTCGTTACAAACAACTTTGGGAAAGAGATTTATAAATGAGTTAGTTTAACTGTTCAAGCAAAGATGTTATTTATAAATAGGCTTGTGTAAGGTCTCTCCATTTTAGCGAATAACGTCTCACTTAGTGCTTACTGTATGAAAATCTTTCATTGTTATCGATATTACAGCAAATTGTATTATGTCACAATGAGAATGTAACAAAATTTGATAAGAATTTACTGGCAATGGTGCTCTTACTTTGAGCTTGTAATTTAAACGTTCAAATATTAATAAATAGCAATGTATTTGGTATTTTAGGTAAAGGTAGTCATTATTTACTGAGTCGCTTTTCTTGATGATATGTTTGCCAGTCATTTTTTTAAAAATTGTAAAACAAGTGGAAAATCGTTGCTGCTAATTTATGAAAAATGTACGAGTGAGTTGGGTGAGTGTGTCTGGGATTCCATTTGCTGCATCGTTTGTTTCTCACACACACTCCGCGTCCTATTCAATGTGCACGAATTGCAAACTGCGAGGGAGCTGATGTTTGGGTGGTTTGCACCGCAGGCAGAAGCTTCCCGAAGCTCACAAACTTTCGCACTCCCAACGTGGGAGCGGGACCGTGGATATATTATATGGCCACATATCTGTGGCAAACACCATGGGAAATGGCATGGGTAGAAAAATTGGTTGGGTTGACCGTCGCCGCATTGCAAGGAAAAAACTTGAGAACATGAAATGCACGTATTGTGTGGTGAACTTTATATATATATATAAAATATATAGAAGGGGAGGGAGTATAAACATTCTTTCAGAGAATGGCAATTCAATGAACACAGAACAACAAATTACGTTGTGCGGAAAAAGAGGCTCAGAAAAATAAGAAATGCTCTTTTTCATATGAAATGAATTTCGGTGGGTCGAGTGGGAGAGACTGGGTGACAGGTGGGCGCAGGATTGCTTGGGGAGGGGAGGGTGTGATGACTGATGACGTCGGAGATTGATATCGGCAGTCGTGGTAGGCGAGGAATATTTATTTATTTGATGGATCGGATGTATTCTAATGTGACACGAAGTGGCAACTAACACCGCAAAGTTTTATAAGATGGAGAAATAAGAAGTGAATAAACGTTTACAAGTGCATGTAAATATAAGTTATAGTATAACATACAGTACTAGTTATTCTTAGCCAGCGAAAGCGTATATTTATACTATCAACCCAAAGTAAATATCGAAACTTGTTTACTTGTTACTTTGCTTTTGGATGAAAATGGCGATAATGAATGCAAGGCAGATAACAAATTGTTAGGGGACAGACATGTGGCCTTGTGGTTGCGGTTTGTGGCTCCCGATCGCGCTGTATTAAATAGATTCACATCCAGAAGCTGGTGACTTGTTGATCTTGGACAAGTGAGCTGTTTACGATGAACGTAGATAATGGTAACAAGTTGGAACCCTTGAATCACAACATTGTAAGGTGCCAATAATTCAGAAAACCAGAATGGAAAAACTTACAGGGGTATTTATCATTGTTGAACAAAACACTTGAGGGGCTTTGAACCTGCGACCTTCACCGGGACTTCGGGAATGCGCTGTGCCCCACAAAATGATTTTTCATTTTTGGTGACAAAACAACTTTTACTGCTTACAGTTTAAGGTCTTTCTGCTGTGCTTGAAAATTAAGATGCTCCAATAAGAATTTTTACTTGTTCCCAAAATGCAGATTTAATATACAGGAGACAGGGACCCATTGCTTTATATCTTTTTACAAATGCAATATGCCACTCCTACTGGAGGGTATCATCAGATTGTTAAGTCTCCAGCGGGCCAACAGATGTGCATTTGCTGCATCGAAACCTATCAAGTGTTCGTTTTGCTTCAGATCGGAACGATGCATTGAAGACATAATAGATGCAGACGTTGCAGAAGCTGTTGGATGCAGCCAACCAAGTCGTAACGAAGACCAGCCAGTTTGGTAGGGAGATACCAGACACGGCTGCACAGGCTCGAGAACCTTGGATGGGTCCCCAACAAAAGGCGAAGCAGAGGGTGACCACGAGAAAAGTCCGGACAGCCTTGGTATCCGACCCTGGGCGGCGGGCGTCTCTCTGCTGACCGCTTTGTCCGCCGGCTTGCGCTTTGATTTTCCGTGCGTGCTGGCGACTGATCTGGATGAGACGCAGGTAGATAATGATCATTATGACGACCGGAGCCACTGCTACGACAATAGTCACAATGATCTCCAGGACGGCCGTGCCGTGCTGACCGATGCACAGTACGCTAGCTGGGATGTAAGACATGGGCATGATGAAGCAAATGCGGATGACCACAAGAGCTGTGCATAGAATGACCGCTACTGCCACAGCAGCCAACACCCACCGCCTCTGGAACCAAACAGGGAATCGAAATGGATAGGTGACGGCGACGTAGCGCTCCAAATTCAACATGCAGATGAGAGAAACAGATAAAGTCACCGATGTCAAAGCTACGATGCCTTGGATTCTGCAAACGACGTCCCCGAAGGGCCAACGGTCTAGTGCCGAGGCCACGATAGACGGTATAGCGTACAGACCAACAAGAAAGTCATTGGATGCTAGGGATGTCATCAGAATCTTTGTGCTGTCGGCTAAGTCTTTGATCCGCCGCACAACAACGATGGAGAAGATGTTACCAGCCACTATGAAGATGGCAACGACGGTAATGAGAGTTGTACGAAAGGTGAGTACAACAGGAGACACAGGGGAAGAGGGTTCTTCTGAAGTGGGCGGAGTCTGGAGGGAGAGGGTGTCGGTTTGGTCATTCATCATCTAAATCGGAGTAATTAGTCATTCAATGTTTCCGCCTTGATGTGAAAAATCTTGATATCCTCACAGATAAGTAACTGTATAAGTGGGTTATCCTGCACAAGAATTATCGACATCGCATATATCTTGAAGTGCTGCGGCAAGTGTGCATCCCCAGTACTAGTGGAACTTCACAGTGTCGTGCAAAACGTTTCACAGGAGCAGTCTGCCTGACGAATTATACTACTGTCAATGAAAATGTTGTCCCTCGACTCGTCGGCTCTTACTAGTCGCTCCAATATCACAAAAAAATAGCCATCTGTTGTGATTTTTCCTGTTGAATGAGTAGCCACAACTTTACAATTCTTATTTTTACAAAACACACCGAACTGAAGTAGTGCCAAAGTAGAGAGGAAATGGTCAGGCTTCAACCAATTCGAAGAAGAAAACGAGGCATTTATGAACTCAAATTTTCCCGTCTATTCTTAGGTAAGAGATAGGAAATTGTTCTGGTTACGAAAGTGACGTCTCAGATGTACCTTTTCGTCTAAGCGTGTACTGTTACACTGACGCAAAAGACATCATTTCGCCTTCGGCTCTGTCCGCTACGAGTTACATACAATAAGCCAGAGACAATCCCCGAGCTCGTCTGGAGTGTTGGTTTGTTCATGAAAAGGCACCGCTACCAGTATTCTGGGATTTATATGATTACTTTGGCTTCACGTTGTCAAGTTAACGAATGACAGTCTACCCTCTCTTCATTAAACATCAAAAAATAAATTTGGCGACATTGATTGTATCGACAGAAAAAATTCAGCGTCAGCGGCAAACAGTCACGCACAAAGGCTTCCTAATCTTGAGAGATCGTCTGCCCTCATTTCGGAGAGGAGATAGGTGGAGTGGTATATAGTTCTATATACATGACTCTTGGAGGATATAGCCTTCATGTGGACCAATGGGTGATCGGGATCGTCAACGTCAGTGCCACGCGCTGAGAGTACCCAGTGCAACGTGCTGAGAGCACCCTGTGATGAACTTGCCTGATGGGGATAATTATTGTAATGCACTTTATGTAATATCACAGACAAAATGTACACTGAATTCCTGTCCACCCATTAACACTGCCTTACGCGATTAACTTTAAGCAGTGATAGTCTGGTGATTGTTGGTGCTTGTGGAAAAAAACAAACAACAAATAAAAGAATACAGAGGAACAATTTTCAAATTTAGTTTTGGAAAAAGTTCCAACTTTAGCCCTTTATACCTCAAACCATTGAAACTATTAGCTGCAAATGAATACAGATGTACATGTATTGAAATCTGCCACAAATAAAAACAATACAGCACAAGAAAACGTTAATTACGGTAAATAAAAATAAACAGCATGCGATCGGCCTTGTATTGATCTGGATGTTATTTTTTGTGGTACTTTGTGGTTTAATTTTGCAACATTTTATTAAGCTTCGTCGGGTGTTTTTACAAAATTAATTTGCATAGATGTTCACATTTATAATTATTTCATTATTAGTGCTTCTGTTTGTATTATAATTTGTAGATGTACTATGGTCCGTCATGGATATAATATTTTAGTGTGGTTTTTCTGAGTATATATTTAGGCCATTTTACTGTTCAATGCATTTGAACAAATTCTATTTGGAATTTGCGCTTTTTAAATGTTGAAATTATTATTATTCCGCATGAGGGTATTATTTGACCATTATATCACTTCCAACTTTTGATGTCAGGGAGTTAGCCTTGAAAGAGCGGGTACAGATAAATTACTGCTATCAATGATGAATAACCCCTGTCCGCAAACCATTTACTGTCAAATACACCGCTGTTCCGAAAGTGGATGAAAACCGTCAATCACAGTACTTGCATTTGGCAGGGCAAAATTAGACCTGGATATTTCCTATGTTGATTTATTATTCCAAACGGTCACTTATCTTCCATCCTTCCAAAGCAAATATAATCACAACGAGGCTTAATTATTAAAAAAAACCAGGACAAGGCAACATTTCATAAGTATATTTGAGGTTTACAGAGCTTATAAAAGTATCGGGTAAGCCTGGCAACAGATTACCAACACGCACAATGATGAAGCTGGCTACAACATACACTACCCAATAAGAAATCAAACAGCCTGACAGTGACGCAGTGAAAGCGATTTCCGGTAAATGCATCTTTGCTCTTTATGAAAGATGGCTTCTTTCTCAGAACCTTAATGGCTTTTTGACAACTTATTTATCCGTTAGTCAAACATCACCAAGTTACTGAAAGCGGGAAAGGCAAAGCTCAGCCGTGTCCTAATGGGCACTATTGGAAATGGCTATAAGTGCTCACTGGTGGATAGCGTGGGACGTTAATGATGATCGACGCCGTGGCCAGAACACGCGTTTCGGAACGACCCCAGTATTAGGTCGTCAACATTAATATTTCTCCACGCTGCAATTGACAACGGAGCATGCGCACTAATTTCTGATTTCCAGTTTTGTTCCTTTAATATCTTAGTGACATAATGCAACCACACACTGAGAGGTCAAAATTTAAAAAAAAAATGTTTTGGCATTGCCGGCCGCGAAGTTGAGATAAAATATGGCGACTCGTCGTAACTGATTAATTTACGTATATATGCTACAACAAATCATGACAGTCTACTATTAAACTATTTGGGTTTGCATGTGGGCGGGGAAGAAAAGTTTAAACTTTGACCCCTCATGTGCTATCATCCATCATGAACTTACACAGCATCTGAAGTTTTAGACGGGATATCGGTGCCGTGAGAGTCAACATGATGAGAACATTAATCAAACAATAACTAGATGTCACGTTTGAAAGCATATTTTATATCTTCAATTTATTCCAGTTCTCCTTATGTGGTTTCGAAACGCTTCGTACAATATATCTGAGAGGTATTATTTCACGTATATTACATTATGTACAATGATTTCGATATATATCTATCTCCTTTCGATTACAATTAAATAATATACTGTCGTCGACCTATTTCATTATCTATTATCAAACCAACAGTTCTATAATCTTCACTGTATTTCACACGTTACTATAACGTTTTAAAGCTGGCATTTCTTGCATGTTAACTCTTTTATTCAACAGTTTTTAAAACTTTCCCGAAGTAATTTAGAAAAATAATGAAAGCCTGTGTGTAACAATTAAGCAAGGCTATGCCATATGACAATGTAAACATGTGAAAATGTGCAACACACCTCAATGACGTGACAGCCAGTCTAGTTGCTTAAAAAACTTCCACTCGAACCAGGTAAGCATGTGCATCACATTGTACGTATCGGTAATATGGGCACCAGCGAGACAAAACTTTTAACTGGTACCCGTACACACTACGAACGTTAAACACCTTGAAACTACGCTGGCTCCTTACAGCCACGGCAATGTAATAATAGGTACATACAGCTAAGATGGTACTGCGTTATCACTGAAGGAATTTATGACAGTTCTTTGGTCGGAATTTTCCAAATTTTCCTCTTTCGCCGTTGGCTTAGAACGACAGATAAAACGCTTTCTGGCATTTCTACACTCCTGTGTCTGTTCTACCATTTTCACAACTGCTGTAAGTATAAGTTTTTCATACACGATGGTGAGGATTTTTTAATGTTATTTGACAGGCCTACACTACAGGCCTTAACGTGCTAAACATTGCATGTACGTTTCACGTCCCAGTTACGGCGTGAAACCTGTACATAGACCTATCATTCACTGAAGTTTATATCTTTTCCAAAAAGCAAACAGCTTTACATTTCTCACATATTCTCAGAAACTAAAATTATTAATGTTTTTAACGATTTCTGAGGAAAACAAGTACACCGCCACATTTGCCAAAGACACCATGCTTACCATGTACAGGCTACTACAAATCAAACGTGCAACATGCATCGAAAAGCCACATGATACAGCTAAGATGGCACACGACGTAAACATCCTCGTTTTTTTACTCACTTTATCTTTCTGCTGATTCTCTTTAGGAAGTCTTTAACCAGTTTTATTCTAGAGAGAAGTACATGTATGATCTCACCAGAGCACAACATACATGTATCTACATCGCAGAGATTGGAAACACAATGTTATGACGATATGAAATTAAAAGTAAAATTTATAGGACAAAAGAGAATTTTTGTGTATCATAAAAGACTTCTGTTTGAATTTCCACCCGATGGTATTTTAGCCCAATTCAAGTACATTAGGCGTAGTTCATACGTCCTAAATTTTATTTTGCAAGTGAATATAAAATGAAAGTCTACCGGTACATAATGGAATGTCTTTGGTTTCTGTTACTTCAAAGTAATGCATAAATGCAAACAATTAAAGAATCAACTGTACATATACAACTACAACTTAATATGAGAGTAAAGTATGTCCACTTTACGGGTCAATCACAAAAAAAATTTAAAGATGTTTTGTACACACTTTTATCAAGTTGCCTCATATGTGTAGCTGAACATCAATGAAAAGCAACACATGTACATTGCATACATTAAGCTGACACCTGTATTTGCAAGGCTAAATTTTTCACTGTCAAACTAATTAGTCAGGTTTTTTAGTGCCACATTATAAATTGATAGTTATCTAATTTGAATCTCAAAAAGGTGTGTAAAATTTGTTTGGCACATGTTTGACTTAACATCTTGTCATTTTTCCAAGTATTGATATGCATGTTTAACTTATCTAGCCGGTCTAGAACTTCCACCTAAACAACATAAAGGATTACATTTCAAAGAATACTTAGACTTTCTGCTAAACTGAATATTGATGAGTTTAACTGTTTAAGGTACTAGTAGTCAACAGATTTCCAGAGAATTGTGCATTTTGAAAAGAATGGGTGATATGTCATCCTGCAAAATCAATGCAGAACACAAGCTTCTTGTCACATACAAGCTGCCATATGTGGAATGCTACAAGTCCAATTCCTCACATTAATTTGGTCCTTGAACATTTTAGCTTTAGGATTGAAGGGGTAAAGTTTTACACTATTCATATACAATGGAATGCAACACTTTTATAAGCAGGGCATCATAAGTTTAAAGATTTGTTACATGATTATCCCATTTGTGAAAAAGGAGATCATTAGTGTTGGAACAGTGCATAAAATCTTCTAAACTTTCAGAGTCTTAAACAAAACAAATTCAAGATGGTTTTCTTTAAAATTGACTTCAAATCTAAACAAGAAATTATGAATATTCACTGGCCATTATCTGAAACCTATCCTTCCACATGAATACTCAAGATAGGAATGTGACTTTTCATGGAACTTAAACCAAAGAAAACATTAACAAAAACTCTAATAACTAAATGCCTAAGGCCTCATCTTGAACTATGGATATCATTTGTTCCGGAAAGAGTACTTGGTGTGACACCAAAGAGCCAAACAAAAGGCAGAGCTACAGTATAAAGGTGCAAAGTTTCTTGCAAATTATTGAAAAGAAATGGATCCAAAAGATTAACAAAGCGATATATAACTAAACCGTGCTTCAACAAAAAAGTTGGAACTTTCTTATCAGAATTTTAACAGACTTAATATCTATCAGCAAATCAAATCTCAAAAAGAAAGAACTTATAATTCTGTAACACTGGTACAAATGAAAGAATACCAATTTCATTTTCTATACCTAAGAACAATTGTGCAGTTTCTTTGAGCTTCCTTTATTAGCAACTAATATAACGACGAGTTGAAAAATCACTCAGTGATTTGGCAAAACTCAGTAAAAGTACGTAGAGTGTGGAATGCAGACTCTGAGGTATTCTTCACTAATTAACATTTCACTGAATATACCTCTTTAAGCAACTGTATACAGATTTTTTTCCTTAGTTATTTTCTGGTTGATTTTTTAAAGATGTAAAAAATCCAAAAATCATTGAAACTGGCAGCATTGAAACATAAGATGTTATCAATCAACTGGAATACATGTACATGTAATTGGTTCGAAATTCCAATATCCCATATCCTATCAAATTTCAAACGAGTTAAATACAATTTAAATCTCTTCTAGTTTTCATTTTTACAAACTTATAATATTTCTGCATGTAACAGAAACAAGAATGAAACAAAAAAATAAATATTATCCACTCTGCAAGAATTGAAAAAAAAATCTTGTCACATACAAATTTGACAATGCATTTAATTCATAGCACTGACATTTGTGTACAATTGACACCTGACATTAGAATACAGATGAATGGAAAATAAACGAGCACACATTATTGAACACACTGGCTAAAATATTTTTCTTGAGATATGAGATATCTCAAACAGCATTTTGGGAGTCTGGTTATATTACCAGCAACTCATCACTCAGTGAAACATACCGGCCATCCATTCCTCTGCTCCAGTTATTTCTTTTCCTCCCAAGAGTCTGTGACAACACACAGTATAGGATCTTCATCCTACGCCTCCGTTTAAATCAAAATTCTACTTACTACAAAACTTACCGGTACATCTCCGAAAATTTCTATTGGAGGCTTTGATTGAAATGCACAATGGATTTCAATATTTGGCAAGCAATGCATTCTGGGATTGCTGGAAGCACGAACGCATTGACAGTTAACATTTCAACTGACAGTAAATCAATAGATTACGATCTTATCAAATCACTCCCGATAGGATGCTTCTGTTTTAGCATACCAAATACGTTACCTAAGCTGGGCGCAGACACTTGTTTGATGGAGCAAAATACTGAGTTGTTTTAGTCATCAAACGCTTCACTTGGTGGGACGTAGGTGAATCCTGTGAAAGCGGAATCTGCTTCTTGCACACTAGCACTCACCATGTGTGGCTCAATGGACCGACCCACTGATTGAGGAACGGGCTCACGAACAAACTCAGGGTCAATGTTCTTGGTGTCCATACTGCTGCTCTGAAATAGCCAATGATAATTACAATGTTTAAAAGCTAGGGATTGCTTATTCTTAAACATCAATTTAATGAAAAAAGGAGTTTAACCTTTTCACTGACAAGCTATGGATTCTAAGCACAAATTCCTTAAGCATTAAAATGGTAACAAAAGAGAGGATGATTAATGTTGGACATTTCATGGAATATCATACAGTAATGTATAATAAAGAACACACGATCCAGCCAGGTACTGGTACGGGTCCTTCACAGCTGCTGACCACAGAAAGATGGCAACCTCAGAAAAAAATATATTCCTTGACTGGTTTTCAGCAAGTATTTGCTTAGAACACAAAAGTACTCAGTAAATACTTTCTGTTACGACAGAAAGGGGTTTGCTTCCCATTACATGGCATCTGAAAAAAAATATGGGTCACACCATCAAAATACCGAGTAAGGTATGGTAAGTAGAGAAACAGGAAGCATAACTAGTTTTTTGGCCTAAGCAGCTATTAATAGATACAAGATGGCACAGTCTCTGAACATACAAACTTACGTACTGCCCTCTTTAGGCTGAGCATATGTTGTGAAATCAAAAGATCTGATGTTACTCTTTGTTTAAGTACATGTACACTTTCTGATAACAGCAAGACAGGACACAATCAAGCAATCCGCAAAGGAAAATGTACAAAGCACAATATCATGCTTCGGAACTATCAATTTATTAAACCAATTAAGGTTTACTTAGGGTGCGCACATGTACTTGGGGCAAGGAAGAAATACCTGCAATTTTAATGTCTGAAGGTAACAATAGACCGATCCAGTAAGCCCCGCCCACTGCACCTGTGAGCACTTACCACATTCTCTTCTCCAATACCACACTAAAGGTTCCAGGTGTGAGCATCATACACCCGTGCACCCAAGTCGGACTGTTATGCGCACCTGTCCGACATACATCACGGCTGTGAATGGTCAGAGCACAAAGGACCAGGGCTTAATGGATTGGTCTATAAGGACAGAGCTTCGAGAAGTTTAGTGACATGGTACTTACGACACTAGGATTAAATGGAGGTGTGATTTCTCTGCCATCTAGCTGCTCCCAGTCAATAGGATCAAAGAACTCATGGTTACGGATTACTTTGAAGTCCTCGACTCCAGCACCAAGTCTCTTCTTACGGTCTTTCTGAAGCATCTGCAAGGTGGTTTCAAGAAACATTTCATAACATTATACCATCCAACAAGTCTCTTGACAATTTCAGACAGTGCCATTAGTATGTCAAATGTGGTAACAGGCAACTCCCACCACTGTCAAAGACATGGCTTCACAAAATTGAAAGACTCTTTGACAATATACTTATGGAAATATAATTATTTCTGTCTCCAGAATTTAGGACTCGGTCACAACCTCAACGCAAATATTCTGGCCTCTGTAAAGGCCAGATATCAAGTCTTTCTGAACTTCAATTTTATCAATAAGACAAGTCACCACAGCTTCCACAACTGGATCTTACAAACGTACATACCCGGTAAACTGAAATACTCTTACTTGGACTTTTAACACTAATTGAAAGTCTGACCTTTCACATCACACTCTGGGATATGTTCATTAGTTTTCTAATTGCAGAAACCACTTACTCCCTCCAAGATGGACTTGGCTGGTGCAGAGAAGTTGCTCTTCATTCGCAGTGGTTTGTGGAGAATGTTGTCATACATCTCAGCTGTGTCTCGGCTGTAAAATGGCGGCTGTAGAAAAATGTAAGATTTTCTGCACTGAAGTTACTATCAATATTATAAAAATGTATCTTATCCTTTCTTTTAACTGAGATCCCCAAAGAAAAAGGGAACTGTGGGGCAGGGCTTGCTATCCCTGAAGGGGCAGGCTTTAGGTGAGGAAGGCAGTAAGGAGGAATGGAGAGTCATCTTACCAGTCCAGAGAGCATTTCATAGAGTACAGCACCTAAGCACCACCAGTCGACGCTGCGATCGTATTCCTGCTTTCTCAAGACTTCCGGGGCAAGGTACTGAAGAGGAAGACAGAATTAATAAAAAGGTTACTGGGATGAGGAATGCACATGACTAGTAATGGAAGACACTGACACAATGTGAACCAAGAGGGCAGCAGAGACTATGGCCATATTTTCTCCGCTTAGCAATTTTGATTCAAGTGGTAGAGACAACAAAAAACAGACGACTTGAGTAAACAACCGTGACTGACATCCCTCAATGGCACAACCTCACATAATTTAAAACTCTCTGTAGCAAGTGAGGAATTCAATTTGTGGAAAAATTAATTTAATAGTGTAATGCTGATCTCTTCTGTTTGGACACTTTTTATTTTAAGGGCAAAATATCTCTTTGGAAAGTGGACATCTGCAAGCATGGCTAGACACAGAACGACACAGGGTAGAAGACACATGGGGGAATAGGGTAGTAGTTCTCCAAAAAACATTTTCCCCAAACTTCTACTGCATGTTAAGTACTCGGCAGGCTTGTCTGAGACTGGACAAAACCTACAATCTTGTCTGAAGAAGCAGAATTAAATGTACCTCAGGTGTTCCGCAGAATGTGGAGGTAGTGCCTTTAGCTTCAATGCCTTCCTTGCACAAACCAAAGTCTGTCAGGACAACATGACCTTCACTGTCAAGCAAGATGTTCTCTGGCTTCAGATCTCTGCCAGTAACAAAATGAGCACATCTTGACAGTTTTTAAACAAAACGATGATAATCAGATGGCCACTAACCTATCGACTATCCAGGAGAGTGGGGGAATTCCTAAAAAGCTGTAGGGAAAGTATAATGTTTAGCAAGATAACTTTGCTAGGAGGAATAGATTGCCAGTTTTATCTTAGTTTGTTTCCCTCAAATCGCAGCTTTGTCTCAATCTTCAGCCTCAAGCTGCACTTTCATTAACTTAGTCCCCAACTTAAGGCCTTCCGGTACCAACAGCTTTGTGCTGGAAATATTTTGAGTGTCTAGACAAGATTTGAGAATTTTCATTTTTATCTTTAGAGCAGTAAATGTTCCAAACTGATTGTAGACTTGAAGAAGCTAGGATTTGGAAAACTTCATGTGTATAGGTAGACTGATTTATGCTGATCTTACCCCAGCACTCACTTTCCCAACAACCATTTTCTACTTTGTAGCTAAGAGACAATGAAGGTGCTGAGTAGCCTACATGAATCAACTATCATACTCGGTCAAAAATGCAGACTGACAGACTGGCAGACCATTGTTGTAGTTGAGATCATCACAAAACCTGACATGAGACTGGTCTCAAGACCAGTCCAAGTAATAGGGTTATTAATGACAAAAGAATGCTTTTGTTGAAGTTCATTTGAATAGGTTGTGACATGAATTCAGACAGAGGGCTTTGTGTTCGTCTTGTGGTGGTCTTGTAAGGGTCTCGTGATGGTCCTCAGAGGTCTTGACTACAATACTGAGGCAGACTGACTGAAAGACTATCGCCAATCCAGGCTGAAAGTGATTTGAAGCCAGAATGCTTGGCTAGAAGATTGGGAGACAGCCAACAATCACCTGGCAGACAAACCAGCCCCATCACATCAAAACCAGAAAATCAGCCTACATTCTGGCAAAAACTCCATTATCCAATTCCTACATGTACCTGTAAATAATATCCAGGGAATGTAAGTAGCCAATTGCACTAGCAATTTCAGCAGCGTAGAATCGAGCCCTTGGTTCTGGGAAATTCCTCTCTCTCTGCAGGTGGAAGAACAGCTCACCACCATTGATGTAGTCAAGAACAAAGTACAGCTTGTCAGGGGTTTGGAAGGAGTAGTGAAGAGAGACGAGGAAGGGATGCTTGAGGTTCTTCAGGAGGACATTTCTTTCAGCCATGATGTGTTTTTGCTGTACGCAGGATGGAAAGGAGAGAACAGAATAACGATACTTTGGAACTCTCTCAAGGGCATGCCAAAAAAAGACAAATTTCTTGAATGTTGGATTGGCAGATTTCTTTCCTAGTCTCCAGCTCTGTGCTCAGGATCCTTACCTCATTTCTTTGCATAATAGCTTTCTTTTCCAACACCTTTACAGCATACACTTTGCCCAGGTGCTTGTGTTTTGCTAGGAGCACTTTGCCAAAACTTCCCTTCCCAATGACTTTCAGAAAGTCAAAGTCGCTTGGTCTTGCCCTGAAAATGAAAAACAGAATATATCAATAAACTTCCAGAAGGAAAAATTTCGGTGATACCCTTCCAGTAAAGTAAATATAAACACAGTAGTTGACTGCATGTACAGGTATGCCTCCAATGATACACTGACAATCTTTCTGGGATGCAAGTGTTACAATGCTTTTTCCCAACAACTTGAGCATGACCCATTACTGAGATTGGAGCCTGCATCCTGAATACTTAAACAATCGGTCAAACACACTCGGTACTTCGAGAATGAAAGAAATCTTCATTACTACTTACGAGGGATTTGCAGATGGCCCCAGGTTGATTGTATTTGGATCTTTGGGATCGCTGAAGTATTCTGTATTGTTTTCATCAATGACATTGTTGTCTGAGTTGATGCGAGGGTCATCTAAGGACAGGAAGTTTTGAACGTCTGGTCTGTTGAAAGAAAAGAACATACATGAAAGGTGCACATCAGTATACCAATACATGTACATAACCCCTTCAGATCTCCTCATCCTACTATATGTGTTTTTATCACTCCATGAAAGTTTCACAGGAACCAAAAAAAACACTCCAGGACCTGAGCTGAGGAGAGTTTTACACTAAACTTGAAATGTTTGCTTTTAGTGGTATCAACTGCTTGAATTTTCTTCATGAAACTCCAGTTATGTGTTGAAATATCTCCTTAATCCTTCAATATCTTTCAAATAACCCACGTAACCAGGTTTCACTTACAGTTTCAGAATCTTTGGATTTGTGATAATCTTTTGGATGAAGTCGTGGAGCCCTTCACGTCGCTGTCGGATGAACTCTGGGTCAAAGTTGTTGCCAAAGAGTTTCTTCCCAGGCAACTTGAAGTCAGCCTCTGGAAACTTCTTCTTAAGCTGAGTCAGGAAACAAGTAAGTATTGATGAAACCTCTACAAGAAAATTGTGAGTACTTCAAATGCTGATGAATACTTTGCACATTCATTTCCATGTACATGCAGAGTATATCCAAAATCTGCTTTCAATAAGAATACTTTACGCCCCTTCATCAGTCCAGAAATGCTTTCAAACGGAAAATCCAAACATGCTAGAAAAGAGATGACTTCTGGGAACCTACAACAATATAGCTTTAAAATAATCAAGAGAAATTTTGATCCTGTGAATTCAACCAGTCAGCCCATGTCTCCACAAAATGCAAAACACTAAATTTTTTACCAAGAATACGGGGGAGGAAATGCCAGCTTTAACAGAGAGTATGGGATGAAAAGGCCCCAGACAGCTATAACTCTAAGAACCCATGCAATCAAACAAGAACTGACAAGCAAATCCACTCAAGAACATGTACACATGGTGCATTGAGCTATAAACAGAACTACCAACATAAAAAAATTCATTACTCAGAGCTAATATATGTCCACATACTGGAACATGCGCATAAGGTTTTAAGGCCGCTGACTTTTTCTTACAAGTGTACATTTGACATGTGTGTGAATCATGGATAAATTTTTACACTGAAGTGAAATGAGACTGATAAATTTTGGGGAAGTGCAGCAAAATGTTTGAACAAATTTTTGGACTCACCATCTCATACAGCTTGTGGAATTCATTGTATCTTCTGAAGATGAACCACGTCTTACCTCCTGTTACCACGACAACCTTGTACACCTTAAAGATGAATAAAAGGGAAATAAATCACAAAATGAGAAACAACTTCACGAATAATTGGATTAAGAATGTGTTAATCTGATATTGTTAAACATAACAAGGCGATGACAAACAAGTGCCTGCAGTTTATCTCCAGTTTGGCTGTGATTAGTTTTGGAAAAACGTGCCCATGAGACTGTTGAAAAAAAACTCGATAATTTTACACTGTGGTACTTGAAGACTGGTTATCAATGCACAAGTTTGCATGTAATGATTATGACCAATCTCAGAAGGAAATTATGGGCTATGCTGCAGTTAATGTGAACTTTGGAACCTAACAATAGGTAATGATCTCCGAATGTGTCAACATCCAAAGCTTGCACAGGAAGACACCCAGCCTTGAATTGACCTTTTACAAGACACAACCTGGTACTATAGGGTAGTTATGCCCTATCCACTTGTGTGGCTATAAGGAACATTGCATCAGTGCTCCATGATTGTATGTACATGTATGTTACTGTACTGGTGTGACTGCAGTTTTTTACCGTACAACTACACTGTGCAATGTGTACATTGTACTTTACATAAGCTAAGGACGACACCAACCTGTTCTCATGTACATGTAAGAAAAACTCTTTATGCACAGAAAAGGAACTATACCGCTACCCTCCAGTACTTCTGTACTCTGGCCACAGTTTCCCAACCTTCTTCCTCAACTCTTCTCATAATCACTACTTTAAGTATCATAACAATATTAAATGACACACGAGCTTACAATAAAAAAAGGGGATTACTGTACCAGTACTTAATTTGATGTTTGTCAGTAAAATGACTAAGTTTAAAAGAAAGTACTGTTAATCTGTTTACATACACGTATCCCCCCCTCCTGTACACGTACATGCACTCCTATTCAGAGTAACCAACAGCCTATGGGAAAAAAATGTGCCGCAGAGAATACTGCACATATAATGATGTACATGTACAGTGTGCGTGAACTGTTCACTTTAAAGTAGTGTACCTTTAATCGGATGCATTCTCAAGTTCTGGAGTTCCTTAATTAACCCTAACAGTCCCAAATCCTCCAATCTCAATATGATTTTACATACATGTACACCCTAGGGGGTTAGGGTTAAAAACTGGTTTTGCATACATGTACCAAACTTTCTCCATTGTTTAAAGGTGACTATGAAATGTTCAGCAACTTACATGTACATATCAGTACCATGGTACCATACTAGTACTGGGTAGGCCCTACATGTACATGTACATTGTACAGTGTTCAGTACAGGTAGGGTTCACTGCATTTACCGCAATATATATCACCAAAACCACTTGTACATGTACGTGTTTCCTCACTTGAATGCCCACAAGCACATTGCTAGTGGATGCCATCAAAGGTCTCTGGAAACCTGATCCCAATTTGGTCAGAACAGAGGGCAATGATCATGGGAGGCCTGCCAATATTACAAGGACAGTGAAATATGAGTAAACCTAGGCTTGGGACTTGCTGCACTTGACAGCAAGTGCCCCCCATCCCCATCTATGGCATTTTATGATTACAGCATTATTAAGGTTTTAGATCCTTTTATAAATCTTCTCAGCCAAATGACATTTTAAGAAGGCCATCACAGCTGTTCTCCCATGGGAGACAGGGGATGCCATTAAGATAACCACTTCAAAAAGTAACTGAAAATTTGTAACAATCATGTAAGATGATCCACACCTACAGTGATCTTAAAATATGTACAGTATCTTTGGATCACTGCCAAGAGAAATTTCCTAAAAAAAAAAAAACCCTGTAACACTATCAAACCAGGCAAGACTTCAACAAATATAACATGCTGCCCTACCGGTATTCCCATACCATACATCTGTACATAGTAGCTAAAACACATCCCAGCCACTGCAAGGACACAATTAATTAAGAATGGTTTTTTGGCAGAGGGAAGAACCTGCCTCAAGCCAGCAGTGCCTTTGTTCAATCAGTCCTATCAATTACCTTCTTAAGCTCCAGTTCCTAAACCACTAATCCCTGAACAATGAGTATTAAAGCAATTGCTGGAAAGCGATGTAAACAATCAGGATACTTCAGTTGACTGAACAGTAAATGACGTAGGAAATCTCCTTGATTCAGTATCACAAACGCTGCTTCTGTTTTCTTGAAATAACTTGAGATACTGAAATCTGCAAAACTTGGAATGATCTGGGTGTAAAGTAGGAGATGGGAGGGACATCCTGATAATAAGTTCAAAGACACAAAATGTGGTACATTTCAAATTCAATCCAAGATAAAAACCTTAACGTGACCCGAGCTTGAAGTGACAATCTGCAGCTAAATGAGAGCAGAAGGGGAATGGAACAGCTGTGGTTTGTAATTGCTTTGAACAAGTTGTGTCATTACCTATTAATGACAAGCCTGCGAAGCTGAGATACGTAAAAAGGGCCTCCAATATACGTATAGCTGTGCAAGTGAAGCCAAGATAGTATCTGTACCAAGACTTGAAATAATTAAATCCCCACACAGTAAATGCTTTATTACTTTTGTCAGGTCATCACAGACTAACAGCTGGAAAGTTTGAAGGTGTCTCATTATGGCCACATGTGATCAGTATTTACTAAATCTTGGGAAAAATAAGATGAAAATTTCCTTCCATTTTTTTATCGGGGGGGGGGTTGTATCTCAGTGCAGCAATGAATTGCTAAATATGAGCTTCATGTGGGCACATCACATCACACAGACGGATCAAATTATCTACTCAAGGTGAAGTCTTGTCTGTGACATATTTAGAAGTGTAATGATTACAATTTTCCATGTTCGGAGCTGAAGAGTAGATCCTAGCTATCAAACAAAGTCCATAAATACTTG